TACCCTAGAAACGTAAAATCGTACGCTTTTACGCTTTAAAGTGCGATTTTGACTGCATTGATTACCACATTGAACCATTTAATTAGTGAATACCTAAAGAAAAGGTTGGGTTCCCGTTACTTCTAACTACACAAAAGGTCTCTGTTGGGCCTTGGCCCACTGGCATCTCATCAAAACAAGATCAAAGCCCACTCACGTTAAGCCCAAAGAGTCCAGTGATCATCATCGAGATGGCTAAGGCATCTTCGCCTTCATTCCCAAAATCCCAAGCCATCGAGAGTGCCAGAAGCATCAACTCCCAGACAATCGCCTTCATAATAAACTCTCCCTAAAGACTCTGTCTAACGGTCTTCAAATTGAAGAAGAGAGAGAGAGTGGTCGCAGATGCTTGCCGAAGGTCTATATAAATGACTCGAGACTGAAGAAGAAGGCAACGGTTTCCGCTATCGGTAGAGCTGGTTAGTTCTTGGGATAGTTGGTTAGGGTTCTTAAGTCTTGTGTCTGGATTCGTAGAGTTTGGGCTTTTGCCAGGAACTCTACGCAATCTGGGCGTAGCTCGCCGCTTATTTGTTTGCTGCTTCTTACTTGCTTTAGGTTTTCTTCTTCCTAGAACTTGTTGTGTCAGTAATTTATCCAGTCTTGTCGAATCAATTTACTTGCATCTTCATTCGAATAAATTCTCACAAACACCTGAAAAAGGAATGGGTTAAGACTTGGTACTTAACAGTCTCAATTAGGGATGGCAATGGGTAGGGTCGGGTGCGGGTTTACCCTATACCAACTCCTAACCCGCCGGGTAGAGCCTTCTAAAATACCCGACCAAATAACCACTGGGTATGAAAATTATATAACCATACCCTACCCACCGGGTAACCATGGGTACAAATCCTAAACTATGAACTTATACACATATATGCACGTACATACTGTTGTGTTGTCCATTAAAAATTCTCAATACTTGTAAATGTTCTAGCTTCAACAATCCACACAAATAAAAATAGCAAACACATAATAATTATTTTTGCTTCTACAATCCACACAAACATAATAATCGTCTACATCTTCATCATCAATAATGGTAGCTAAACTCAATTTCTCAAGCTAATCTAAATTTCCCAAGGGAAATTGACCCTTTGGTTAGCGGGGCGGGTATAACGGGGCGGGTATTATCGATTACCATACCCGTACCCTACCCTTTATTTTGAAACCGGGTATTACCCGTACCCGCCCCTTAACCCGTCAAAGCGGGTAATTACCCTCGTTGACCGGTTACGGTCGGGTAGGGTACCCATGGTTACGGGTTGGATTGACATCCCTAGTCTCAATCCCTTCCCTTAGGATGTCTCATAGATCATGCCTCTTGGCAATCCTTTGGTAAGAGGATTTGCCACATTATTGAGCGATCTTACATACACAATAGAAATGATTACATTAGTAATCAAATATCTAACGTGTTCATGTCATAGGCTAGTAGCTCTAGACTTACCATTGTAAATCTGTTATAAGCTCTCGACAAAGTAGCCTCACTATCACAAAAGACAGAAATGGTTGGCATCGGTTGTGGCCACAACTCTATGCTTAACAACATGTCTCTTAGCCATTCTGCATCTTTTCCAGCCGCCGCCAGGGCTAGAAATTCATCTTCCATGGTGGAGTGTAATACAAATTTTGTTTCTTCGAAACCCAAGAAACAACTCCACCACCTAGTGTAAAAATATACCCGTTGTAGATTAATTTCACTAGCTTCAAAACATCTCCCCCACAATTCTTCCACTTGCCGAACTATCATGGAATAATTCCATTTTCCATGGTATTACTTATTGAACTTTCAACCACTACATTGATCTAATTGTTTACCAATGATATGAACTAATTATATTAGTATACCACAAACAATTCAGATATTATTAGAAATATCATCTAATTACTTACCAATGGAATTGGTCAAGGTAACTTGAGATGTCACAAGTAATTCAGTTGTATTTCCAGATTGTATTGGAAATACCATCTAATTACTTACCAATGACATTTCACGAAGGTAACTTAACATACCACAAGCAATTCAAATGAATATTCTAATTCAATATTCTAATTACTTTCCCATGGTATAAATTCACACATATACATAAGTAATTCAGAATTTAAGTTCAATAAGATCATCTCAATTAGTTCTCAAGCCAAATTGTTTGCCAATGGTATATGTCTAAATATACCATAAACAATTCTGGCAATGATTATTTTGATAATTATCATTCCTTGGCAAGCTTATTCAATTCCTATAAGGATCCATCTTAGTTTCTTTTTCCAAGACATAAATCACATACATGATAAACAAATTATCATGTCGGGGGACATATTTCACCATTATTCCAATTTACTTCAAGATCACAATTCAAACAATTTTGTTCCATAAACCAAATTGTTACATCTTGCAAGCATCAAATTGAAACTCATACAAATTTTGGTGACAAAATTTATTTCAAGAATTCAACGTGGATTCTTCCAAATTCAAACAAGTTGAATTTTTCAAACTCTTCTCATAATATGAATTATGAGTTTGATCTCATCTCAAATACGACAAAAGTATTTGATATCATTTAACCAAACCAAATAATTCAGCGATCAGCAGACTGTTCCCGGTCATTGTTCTGTCTATGCCAAACCATGTTACACCACAACATGGAGACAATAATCATGCAATGCTCGAAGCATGAACCATTGTTGTAGATAATTAACAATGACTTGTGTCAAAACACTTACAGAACACTTGCGTGAAAATGAAATGTATATATATATGTAATACAATCTCAGATCATGCAAAGAGACAAAGTATAAACATATATATATATATAAACTGTATCAAACAACCATGGTATTTCTGACCATACACAGACCACTACATTCATGTAGGATCGACTGCATTTATTCACTAATAACTAGTCGTTGAGCAAAGCACTTCCATTAACAAATAAATCAACCAAGAGGGGCCAATTACAACCACTTTTTCCTTTCCAAATGGCGGGCAGGAACAAACATATATATATATATATATATATATATATATATATATATATATATATGTCATTTATACTCGCACTTAAAAGAAAAAAGGACAGAGGATAGTGTTACCAGATCACAATGACCGTCGAATGCCACTTAATTTTCGATTTTAATGAAACTGATTGCCAATTCTCCTTCCGGAACCAACTGCGCGGCCAGTTACAAAGCATTTTGACGAACAGATTGCAAGGTAAGATTATGCCAAATCGTTTCGAACGAATATCAGAATTCTTCTTTTCATCTTGCCATGCCATGCCTTCAACATATTCTTTACTCCAGAATCCATTTTACAACAACAAACAAATAACACTCTAAGATTGTCAGGAATCTGGTAGGAAAGAATCGGATTGAAGGCGTGATTCGATCACTCTCCTTAGAGTGTTATTTGCCCCCACTACAAATTGCTGGTAGGCTCGAGCAAACCACCCCCAGGAGTCCCTTCAATTCTAAGTCTGGAAGCAGCAATCTTGCAGACTTCTGTGTTTTGTGAAATAGAGAAGGAAAACCGGAAGAAGAAGTAATCTCTCGTCATAAAAAGAGTTATGGCAGTCATCTATTTATAGTAGTGAAACTGGAAGATACCTTCCGAAGAGATACATCATTTCACATAAAAGGTAGTTACCTTTCCCGAAAGGACACATCCTTTCACAGAAAAAAGGGAGTTACCTTTATGGAAGGACACTTTATCTTCTTTTCACAGAAAAAAGGGAGTTACACTTTATGGAAGGACACTTCTTTTCACAAAATTCAAACGTTTAATTAATTAATTAAACTGCCAAAAGACTCCATCTTTATACTTTACTTCTCCCATCAATGTCGTATTACAACTCTATTGACTAACTCTAACACTAAGTGAATGATGGCATGTTCGCGAGTATTTGATTACAAGGGTTTGCGTTCGATTTATGGGAACGAAGAAGAATGGCCTCTTGCGACCCAAAAAAAAATGTGTTGCGTAAAGCCTTAAAAGAGTTGCAACATCTTAACGCAACATTTTTACCAGAGTTGCGTATAGTGGAGGTTGTAAAAGGAATACGCAACCTTTTTTTTTCATTTTTGGCAATCAAAATAAGAAGTGTTGTGTATCATTAAGTTTTACGCAACGCCACTTTAGGCAACACATTTTCAAATTTTTGCAACGCATTTTGGGAACGTAGCCTATGCTTTTTTTATGGATTTTTTCGCAACGTTTAATTTTGATTTGTAACTCGCATATCAGATCGGAGAAACCACTGGACTAGCATATCAAATTAGAACCAAAACTCTGGAATATTCAGAACTCAAGAAAGCTAGTCCATGTTGCATAGCAAGAGCATAGACATGAGCAGACTATGAGAGCAATAAACTTATAGTGGTGGCACTGTACTGTAGTTAATTTTGGGATGGCCATGTTGTTGGTACGAGAGGCATGAAAAAAAAAAGTTTTCTCAAAAAATATTGAAAATGGATCTCATTTTGTAGAGCACAACAAACTCGTTTTATCTGTGCAAAAAAAAATTTGAAATCCGAATTAAAACGAAAAAAATATTAGTCGATTAAAAAAGGTAGAGAAAATAAAAATGCTTTTAATTCTCATCTGAATTTTCTGAATGAAGAGTCCAGATTTAATTATACACCTTATCTGAAGCCACATAGATTTTATCTAACCACCAAAATAATTTCTTTAATTTCTTTTAGGGGACTACTTATCGGTTGATGGATGTCATCGATTAAATTATTGTGAGGTGCTTTCCATGCATACGAACACAACTTATTATATTATGCTATCTCTTGTTGATGGATCAAAATCCTTTAGCTCGTCAACAACATCATCACATCTTCCATTATATTTACCACATACGTTCTTTTCAAAGTCCAAGTTGGGCCAGATAGTGAAATCACTGGATGAACAACGCTAATGTATAGAACTCAAATGTTAGAAACAAAGGCCTCTCCTTTTTTGTATGAATGACATTATTTCGTTTCATTCTATTGACCCAATTCACAGTTCCAAATACCCACATTTTCATCCTTACAATTGGCAACAAAGATGCAGTTATGCAATTTGGTATAAGTCACTATGTACAAACAAAATGCAAACAGAAGAAGAAGAATTACAACAAAGGAAGAACAAGCTTACCAAAAGAAATGAAAAGAGCCTATATCTGTTCTCTCCTCCAAAAAAAATCAATTGAACTTTGGATTTGCCAAGAAAAAAAAAAAAAAATTTGTGGCTGGACAAATACCATTACCAAGTAGAACAGAAAGAAGAAGAAAAGGAGCAGACTTAACTGCAGACAGAGTCATGAACTCCGGCCACTGTCGTCGATCATCATCCCTTTCAGGCTCTTCGCCAACCATATCGCTGTCTCCCTTGGCGAGACCTTATCTTTCCCAAACGGCTTGAGAACGATTGCCAGCTCCTCCAGCCTATTCTGCTGTAGCAAGTCAGCAGACAGTTCCAAGAGCCCTTCAAGTGCATCAGCTCGCTGCCTAAATGACTTCACGTCCAAGATTTCCTTGGGTGCAGTAGTGGGCGACGGAGCCACTTCTTCTTTGACAGGCGAGGTAGGTTTTGCCAGCTCAGAAGCATCGGACTTCATGGCTGAGGCTGCAGCTTTCATATCCATTTCCTTGAAGCTGGAATCATCAGTAGACAGGCTAGATTTCAAGCTTGAGGCTTCTGAGCCTCCTGCCGATTTAAGTGTCACTGGAGCCCCCACATTTCGCATATCCAGTTCATCTCTCACAACATTCAAGAGTTTCCCGACGTCCATATTTTGAACTCCCATCTCAACAGCTTCCATGACTGGCTGCTCGTTCCCAACACGGAAACTACTGTGGCGTATGACATGTATGACATCGTCAAAAGGAGGACAGCCAGCAGCAGAACCCTTTTCCACTGGTGGATTTTGAAAGATGGTTGTTCCTTTTTCTGATTGGAAATAGTTTTGAGCGGCCGAAATTGGTGAGAGAGCTGAAGTAGTAGCCTCTGCAACTGATAGAAGTTCTGTCACCGTAAACTTGTCATCACCTCTACATGGAGAAGTAACATTTGATCCAAGTGACGTTTCAGGTCTACTGCAACTAGGCTGACTTTCAGGGATAGCCTCCTTACCAATTGTCACTTCTTCAGTAACTGGAATTGATAAATGGAGTGCTGCACTTGACATCATGTTACCAGCACCAGTGGAAGAATTGCCATTGGCATCTGCTCTGTTAGAAGGTTTAACTGAGCAGATTGCAGATCCAGGAGAATATCCAGGATTTTCATTTGATAAAATTTCGGAAGCATCAGAGTGGAAAGAGGATGGAGATGAGACTCTTAGTGCTGGAAGATCTGAAGTTCCTGGCCTTCTTTCTATCACATGATTTGGAGGTGTCTGCATGTCATCAAATGAAGTTGTTGCATCGTCATAAAGTTCAGCTGCTTCAACTGAAACTGCAGACGACACAGAATTACTGCTATCAGTTTGAGTCACTTTTGAAACTCCAACTGGAGATTTGTTAGACGTCTCTTGCTTGAGCTCCTTAGTAAAATGCATGAACTGCCCGCCGGGAACTTCACGAGAAGCAAGTTCGGGGGAGTTAGTCGTGGCAGTAGTCTCAGTTTGTGTCACTTTTGAAACTTCAACTGGAGATTTGTGAAACGTCTCTTGCTTGAGCTCCTTAGTAGAATGCATGAACTGCCCATCGGGAACTTCGTGAGAAGCAAGTTCGGGGGACTTAGTCGTGGCAGTAGTCTCAGTTAGGGAGTCATTTCCAACTTGTCTTGTCCGTGCAGGGAATGGACACCGTCGAACTATGTTGGAAGGCGGGGTTCTCTGCCTAGACTTTGCAGCAAGTCCATCATCAGAAAGCTTTGCGGGGACAGATGGCGGGATGCCATCGTGTCTGGGCTTAGTCTTCGGCGATGAACCAATTATTGTTAACTGCTATTGAGGAGGTGATTAAACATGTGAGCAGTTTAAACGTTAAAGAGATCAGAATACCAACTACCAAATAAACCGACTGGAAAATACTATTCTACCTGATGTTTTGAAGGGGTTGATGCTGGAATCCGCTTAACAGAATCGAATGTCAACTTTGCCTGAGCAATAGGTGAAGCATCAATTGCGCTAGGCTTCAAACTCGGAGCAACAGCATAGGGTCTTGGAATTTTCGACACTGATTCTGTGGTATTTCTTGGTGTTGTTGCTATGCCTGTAGCTTTCGTACGAGCCCCTCTCAGTGGAGAACCATTTTCCCTAGTCTTGCCTTCTTTCAATGCCATCATAATACTCTTAATAGTCTTAGGCTGCTGCTTGGACTCAACATTGGCCCCATCGTCATAATGGTTGACCTTCATCACTGTCCGTTCATTGACTTTGTCGCTATGAACTGTATGATTGCTATCTCCTTCGCTTGGCGTAGTTTGTTCAGTGTCATTATCATCATCAACTGATGCCAGATCTGTATCAGTACCTTTATTCTCTCCCATAGTTGAGATGTTTCTCTCGCTTGAGAGGTAACTATCTCTATCACTACTAGAGCTGTTGCTGCTCTGGCTTTCAGCCATGTTTCTCCTTGAACCACGACCAGCTGAAGGAGGCTTCTCGAGAGAGCAAGTTGGAAGACTGAAAGAAGATCGGCACTGCTCCACATAAGGCTGCAAGTATGGATGCTTTAGGACCTGAGCTGCCTGAAAGGAAAAAGGTACTCGGATTGTTAAGGAGGAAACGGGAATAAAACTTACATAGCGGGAAAGAAATTGAGCGGTATGCTTACACTAGGACGATGCTCAGGATTTTTCCTCAACATGCATTTAATAAGTGCTTTCCTGTGATCAATGTATCAACTGTAAGTCCCAAATCATCGCTAAAGAGTAAAGTGTTGATCATAACTAATATTCCAGAGATCACCGGACTAGCCATCCATAAAAATGAGAGAAAGATAGGACTTGTAAATTATGCAGTTGCTCCATCAAATTTTTCTTTTTTCAGTTCTTTTAGGAAATTCACAGAGATAATCTAGTATGAGACTTATAAAGTTTCTGCCGCATGATACGGAAAATGAAAATATCAAAACTATAAGAGAACGTACAAGGATGGAGAATAGCAAGGTGGCAAAGGACCAATTGAAGAACGATTTATCTTGCTTATCAATCCTGCCATATCCTGCAAGAGGACAATTACAGAAGGGATTAAGTGTACGGATAAATCGATGGATTAGAAAATGCTTCGAAGTTCTAACATATTGCAGCTAACTTTCTAACGCAATGGCTTTCATATCTGGGATAAAGGAAATCTTACAAAAGCTTTGAAAGCAGGGCGATGAGCAGCCATCTCATATACACAGCATCCTGGTCATTAACAAACCCATATTAAGAAAGCGGTAACATAATTTCACAATCACGAAAAAAATTCAAGACCTTGGACACACCATACCTAAAGACCAAATATCTGATTTGAAACCATATGGAATGTCTGCAAGTAGTTCAGGACACATGTAATTGGGAGTTCCAACCACCTGCACACAAACGCAGACATGCGCACATATTACTTGGGAAATAAAAAACAGTCAGATTATCTTTGCCGTATCACACACTACACAAGCAATTCCAGGGGGAAATTAAATGGCATGTTTTGCGCAACAGATGAAGTACTCAATGTCGGAACAATTTGAGCTTTACAATCCAGCGTGATATTGTGTAGTCATCTACAAGATTCTATGCTGGCACAAGAAAGTAATAGGGAAATAAAAAGGAAAAGTTGGGAGCTTAAACATACCGATGAAGCCAAGTCATCTTGCTTCAAAGTTTTAGCAAGTCCGAAATCCCCTGAATTCAACCAAAAAAAAAAAACAATCAGCAAAAGTAAAAGGACCACAACAACAATGCACACAATACATAACCAAACATTAATCAAAACAGACTTACCGAGGCGGACATCCTGATCTTTAGTCAGAAAGATATTTGAGCACTGCGAAAAAAACAGAACGCTTTCATCACTAAAGTCACCATCTTTAAACTTTATACAAAACCTCAGAATCAGAAATCAAAACTCTACTCCACATACTTTTAAGTCACGGTGGAGGACATAATTAGAATGAAGATACTCAACAGCCAAGAGCAGTTGCGTGAACCACTTGCAAAGTTTCTGCATCCAACAATGGCCGTCAGTCGTACTCAAATAACTTAGCCTACTATGCAATGTCAGCCGCAAACATCAATCAAACTGGAAATCAAATAAAAAACTACCTCCTCAGGAAAATTAACACCATTGTTCTTCTTCATCAATTCAGCCCTACTCCGAATCAACCAAATGCATAGATTAGTAATTAAACTAGCGAAGCAGGCTCGATTCGACACTAAATTACTTGAATGCATAACATAACACTTACATGTCTCCACCTTCACAGTACCCAGTGACAATACATACATAGCAACCCTACATATACGCAATTGGCAACATTCACATTCAGTCGCCAATGATACTAAACAGAAGAAACCGAATCGAATTCTCCTAATGATACCAACCTTCTCGACCCAAGCTTCCTTGTATTCCACAATGTAAGGGTGCTGAATTCGTGCAATGAGCGCCATCTGCATTACAGAAATGTCATACATATCATAAGATTTTAGCAATAGCAGCAGCTTAGTCAACTAAAACACACACACTTGACTGACAGAGCAGGAGAAGGAAACATACTTCCTGGTGAGCAGATCTCCGGCATCGCTCCGTCTGACGAGCAAGCCGGATCTTCTTCAACACATACCTGCAAAATTAAAGCTCCGAAATCAAATTAACAAATGTAATCTCCCAAACGGAACAACACAGAGGCAGAGACAAAAAGAGGGTCATACTTCTTTTTCTCAGCTTTATGATTGACTAGAATAGCAGCGCCAAAGGCGCCACGGCCGATCTGCTCCATGATCTCATACTGATCCATCCGAGACTCCATCTTTCCCACTTTCCCCAACTCCGCAGAAGAGACGGAAACGGCCAGAAGATCAATCTGAAGAATTCGTTACATCACTGTATCTCCCTGAGTAAACAACCAATCAAATTCGAGAATCTCCCGATAACGACGGCGGCTCTTCCTCCGTCCCCCAACAATGTCGGGGGAGACAACAAAGCAGGAAAAAACCCTCCCGGTGCCCCCAATCGCCGGCGTCGCCGCACTGGGCTTCAACACGAATTGGGAAATTGTAACAATGATTGTTGTTGTTGTCCGGTGGCTGAAAAGGAGAGAAGGGGAAGTTGGGGAAGTTTCGTTGACAAGGAAAGTTCTCTCCTTTCTTGTTTCCCCCCCCCCCCCCCCCCCCCCCCCCCTCTCTCTTTGCTGTTCGTGGGTTCGAGATTGGGTGAGCTAACCAGAGAGAAAGATGGTTAGGGGGAGCGACCAAACAAAGGGTGATGGTAGTAATGGTGGTAATGAATGATTGGATTGATGATGAATAATGAATTAAGCAGTGATGGTGGTGTCAGTGAGAGTGAGTGAGAGAGGTGTTTTTAGGTGCGGGGGCGGAGTGGAGTAAGAACTACGAAGACGACGAGCAAGATGAAAATGGAGTCAAAAAGAGGAATTGGCAATTGGGTTTCTACTGCGACGCACCGCCGACACACAGGCAATTGGGATTTGGGGTTGGGTTCGTACAGCTACAAACAACAGGCTTGCTTTACAAGTTGGAGGGTTCGTTTATTATTATTGTATATTCCCCGTGCTTTGCTTCCACCATCTCTTCTCTCCCATCTTTTGATTATTCATTGTTTAATTTGATGCCCCTACGCCCTAATCCTAATCCTGATCCTTCTCCTGAAATGTACGACGAGAGAGATGATTGTGGGATTTATTATTTATTAACTCATTGATATGATTACTTGATGTGAGATGGTGTGTTTAGTGATGATTGTGAGTGATAGTTACTACTTAATTAGGAGCATCATTATTACCGGCCAAGGTGCTTGTCGTTACTCAAGGGCCCAGGTATCAGAGGCCGTCAGGATGTTCCGTTGGGAGAGTTCGTCATGTTCGTGGATGGAGCTACGGCGCCTGGTTCACATGGAGCGGGAGGTTGGGCTCTTCAAGATCCCACGGGCATGGTGGTGGCAGCATCGGCAGCACTGTATGTGGGGATTTGGGAGCCGGCTCTTGTGGAATTACTGGCCTTCCGGGATGCGCTTCGATGGTGCTTGGCGTTTGGTTTCCAGTCGATGATTTTTGCAGGTGACGCCCAAGTGATCGTGGGGAAGATCCGGGAGGGTGAGGTAGATGATGTCCATGGAGGGATGCTGTTGGAGGAGATTCGAAGTATGCGTGACTTGTTCCAGGAGTTTCGGGTTATTTTTGTGGGTCGGGAGTCTAATAGGGTTGCCCATTTGGTGGCAAGAAAAGCCCTTTCGTTGTCCCCTTCTTTGGTGGGGTTCAATTTTGTTTCTTGGCTGTTTTCAGCTATGTGACTATTTTGTATCTGTCTGTTTTCTCGGTAATACGAGCGATCTTTTGGCAAAAAAAAAAAAAATTACTAGCTCGATTAATAGTACTTTGTACCCTTTATTTTGGTAAATTAACAAATGTATCTCTTTACTAAATTTTTCACAAACATACCCTTCTAATATTAAATCGTAACAAGTTTACACTTCCATCTAATTATCCGTTAAATGATTGTTAAATAGACTGAGAAATGACCCAATTGACCCTCATTTAATCCTAATTTCCGTTCTAATTATTTTATTATTTATTTCTAAGAAATAAATTAATTAGAAAAACCAAAACCCTAAACTAACTCTCCCCTGACGCCTGATTCCTCCGCCGCCAAACCCCCATCCACCTCCCTTCTTTCCAATCCCCTTCCCCTTTCCCAACCCTACGCCTCAACCCCTCTTCCTCCCCTGTTTCCTTCCGCCATCTCACCAATTGACAATCTCTCGCTGTTTGTTCCTTCCGTCTTGCTCGGCGGTGACGGCGACGGTGGAATCAAACGGTAACCTGTCTCTGACGGCGGTGGGGGATGAGAGGACGACGGAGGGGTGTGTTGGAAGCAGAAGCTGGATTCAAACTTGGGTCATTTTAGTATTAGAGTCTTTCTGTTGAAGTGTCGTCGTTCTGTTTGTGTTGAGTCAGTTTGGTTAAGATGATGTCGTTTAGTTTGCTTCGTGTAGATAAAGTTTGAAGTTAGATAGCTTGGGTCTCAATACGTTGAGTCTGTTAGTTTGTTAGAGAGTCAAGGGCTGTTAGAGTGTTTACAGCATAGAAAATCAGAAAATGGGGTCGTGGGATCGTGATGGGCTGAGTCATGGGTTTAGTGATTGTATTTAAACTCATTTTTATTATCAATAAAAGCTGTCAGTTTGCCCCAACATTGCTTTCATAGTGGTATCAGAGCATTGACTTACTGTAACCAGTATTTGTGCAAGAGTGATTTGTTGAGAAGTGAAGAGTCTGAATCTCAGACTGGGTTTGGGAAACACGAGAGTTCGTGTGAGGTTGTTGTTGTGGGGTGAGTGAAACACGAGTGTGTGTGAGTTGTAGATCTGAAAATGAGTGAAACATCAGGTTTTGCACAAGTGAGTGTTCCACGTTTTGATGGTGACTATGATCACTGGAGCTTACTCATGGAGAATCTCCTGCGATCAAAAGAATTCTGGGGAGTGGTCTCAAATGGTTTCAAAGAGCCTACACCAGAAGAAGCTGAGAAGTTGACACCAACTCAAGCCAAGGAACTGGACAATCTCAGGTTGAGAGATCTCAATGCCAAGAACTACCTTTTTATCTCCATCGACAAAACCATACTGAAAACCATTGCTCTCACAAGGCAACAACCAAGGATCTTTGGGATTCAATGAAGATGAAATATCAAGGTAGTGCAAGGGTAAAGAGAGCTCAATTGCAGACTTTGAGAAGAGAGTTTGAATTTCTGGAAATGAAGACTGGAGAAAGTGTCAATGACTATGTTTGAAGGGTCACAACAGTGACAAATGCAATGAGGAACTGTGGAGAAGAGATGGAAGAGGTGAAGGTTGTTGAAAAGATCTTGAGAACACTAACAGAAAGGTTTAACTATGTTGTTTGCTCCATTGAGGAGTCAAAGGACATAGATACCCTCTCTGTTGATGCTCTTCAAGCTTCCTTACTGGTTCATGAACAAAAGTTCAAGAAGAAAGTTGATTCTGAAGATCAAGCACTGAAGGTTGGCTTTGAAATTGGAGGAAGGGGTGGAAGAGGACTGGCTAGAGGAGGCTTTCGTGGCAGAGGAAGAGGAGGCAGAACATGGAATCGAGAAACTGTTGAGTGCTTCTACTGTCACAGGCTAGGGCATTTCAAAGGTGAATGTCCTGAACTGTATGGCCAGCAAGCTCATTTCACACATACAGTTGTCAGTCAGGATAATAGCTATCCTGACATGAAAGAAGAAGTATTGCTTATGGCTTTTACTGAAGAGGAAGAAGAAAAGCCAGTTCAATCTGAACTGCAGATGACGTTGCAGAATGATTCCAACACACAGACTGAAGGCTGGTGGTTTCTGGACTCGGGATGCAACAACCATATGACAGGTGACAAAAGATGGTTTACAAGCATTGATAGCAGTTTTATTTCTACAGTAAAACTGGGGAATGGCAGCAAGCTAGATGTGAAAGGAAAAGGTACTGTTCAATTGGAAATAGAACATTTATCTTTAGCTATTCAGGATGTGTTCTATGTGCCGGGGCTAAAGTCAAATTTAGTAAGCATAGGTCAGATGCAAGAAAGAGGTCTAACCTTTCTGATCAAAGAAGGAGTCTGCAAGCTCTTTCATCCAGAAAAGGGTCTCCTGCTGCAGACAACCATGAAAACCAATAGGCTGTTTGTATTGCACAGTGCCATGAAACCAACAGCTGAAAACAAATGCTTGTACACAGCTGGAAATGATCAACTGAGGTTGTGGCATAGAAGATTTGGTCACCTGAATCACAAGGGTCTTCTGCAACTAAAAAAGAAGGGAGGAGTTCGTGGAATTCCAGCACTCAAGGGGTCACCTGAAATCTGCAACACCTGCTTACTTGGCAAACAGCATAGGGTGCCATTCCCAAAGAAAAGTCAGTGGAAAGCTACACGAAAGCTTCAACTCATCCATTCTGACTTGTGTGGCCCTATCACTCCCGTATCAAGCAGCAAAAAGAGGTATCTCTTCACACTAATAGATGATTTTAGCAGAAAACTGTGGGTCTACTTCCTAGCTGAAAAATCTGAAACTTTCAGTGTCTTTAAAGTCTTTAAAGCACAAGTAGAGAAAGAAACAAATACATCTACAGTGTGCTTGAGAACTGATAGAGATGGTGAATTTATGCTTGGAGAATTTAAGGATTTTTGTGATAAGGAAGGAATAAGGAGGCAACTTACTGCTGCTCTCACTCCCCAACAGAATGGGGTAGCTGAGAGAAAGAATAAAACCATTTTGAATATGGTCTGATGCATGCTTGAAGATACTAAGGTACCTGCAGTGTACTGGCCTGAGACTGTTAATTGGACTGCACATGTTCTCAATAGAAGTCTAACAGCAGCCAACAACGGCAAGACACCACAAGAGCTTTGGTATGGGGTTGCACCTTCTGTTGAACACTTCAGAGTGTTTGGATGCACAGCCTATGTGCATGTTCCTGATCAAAAGAGAAAAAAGTTAGATGGAAAGAGTACCAGGTGCATACTGTTTGGAGTGTCTGCAGAATCAAAGGCTTATAGGCTGTTTGATCAAGATACTAAAAAGATCATACTGAGCATAGATGTGATCTTTGATGAAGCTCAACCAGGATGGATATGGAATTCAGACATTACTCATGTTCTAACAAAAATCATATGGGAAGGGAGTAATGATGAATTGTGCAGTTCTGATGATGAAGAAGAACCAAAAGCAGCAGATTCCGAGTCTGCAGAAACCGAGTCTGCAGACACTTCTGATGAAGTCGAGACACCAACTCCATCAACTGATAGAAACCAGCAGACACATTCCACTGATGGCAATGATGAAGAAGAGGATGCAGCAGATGTCTTGGGACTTCCAGCGGGGGTTTGACTCCCAGAGTTCCCAAACTACCAGCACGCTTTAATGATTTCGAGATGGGTTGTGTGCAAGTGGATTGGACAGCTATGATTGCCATTTCTGAAGACCCTCAGACTTATGAGGAAGCAGTAAAGGAAGAGAAGTGGAGAATAGCAATGAAGCAGGAGATTGTGGCAATTGAAAAGAATGGAACCTGGATCCTAACAGTACTGCCACCTGGTGTAACTCCTATTGGAGTAAAGTGGGTATTCATAACCAAGCTTAATGAGTTTGGAGAAGTAGACAAATTCAAAGCAAGAGTGGTAGCAAAGGGCTATGCTCAGAAAGAAGGTATTGATTATACAGAAGTGTTTGCACCAGTAGCAAGGTGGGATACGATAATAACTTTTCTGGCTCTAACTGCTTTCTATGGTTTGATAGTCTATCAATTAGATGTCAAAAGTGCATTCCTTCATGGGGAATTAAATGAGGATGTCTACATCTGTCAGCCTGAAGGTTTTGTAGTTCCAGGTGAAGAAGCAAAGGTTTACAAGCTAAACAAGGCTCTATATGGTTTAAAACAGGCACCCAGGGCCTGGTACAGCAAGATAGAAAGCTATTTCTTGCAGAATGGCTTCGAGAGATGCACATATGAATACACCTTGTTCATAAAAAGAAGGGGAGCAAATCTGTTGTTGGTAAGTATTTATGTTGATGATGTAATGTACACTAGCAACAGTGAGTCTATGCTTGCAGAGTTCAAGGCTTCCATGAAGGAGAAGTTTGAGATGACTGATCTTGGCAAAATGAGGTATTTTCTTGGAGTTGAGGTGATTCAAAATGAGAATGGGATTTTTCTGTGCCAACAGAAGTATGCTCGTGAGATTCTGGAAAAGTTCAAGCTTCTGGAATGTAACTTCTGCAAGAATCCAATAGTTCCTGGAACTAAACTGTCAATCAGTGGAGATGAAGTTCCTGCAAATGTTACACACTACAAGCAATTGATTGGAAGTCTTCTCTACATCACAGCAACAAGGCCTGACTTGATGTACTCAGTATGTCTGCTGAGTAGGTATATGGGAGCTCCAACTAGACAGCACATGCTGGCTGCAAAAAGGGTTCTAAGATACTTAAAAGGAACAATGGGATTTGGCATATGGTACAAGAAGAAAGGAAGTGAGGGTAACCTGGTTGGTTACACGGATGGCGACTATGCTGGTGATGTAGATGACAGAAAGAGCACAAGTGGTTTTTTTTTTCCCTAGCAGGTGGAGTTGTGTCATGGACTTCAAAGAAACAACCAGTAGTGACATTATCCACCACCGAGGCTGAGTTTGTAGCAGCAGCAGGCTGCGCTGCTCAATGCTTATGGCTGAGAAGAGTTTTAGAGCAAATGGGGTGGAAGTCCAGCATTGAAAAAGGAACAACCATCTTCTGCGACAATAGCTCTACAATTAAGTTGTCTAAAAATCCGGTTCTACATGGCAGAAGTAAGCACATAGATGTGCGATTTCATTTTCTGAGGGATTTGGTCAAAGAAGGAACAATTGATCTAGAGCATTGTGGAACAGCAGATCAAGTTGCTGATATACTGACAAAACCATTAAACACTGATGCATTTGAAGAACTTCGAAGAAGGCTTGGAGTTGTGGATATTGAGAAGGTCACAGCTTCTGCAGAAGTGAACTGAAGTCTTCCCAGGCTTCAGTTCAGGGGAGGCTGTTGGAAGCAGAAGCTGGATTCAAACTTGGGTCATTTTAGTATTAGAGTCTTTCTGTTGAAGTGTCGTCGTTCTGTTTGTGTTGAGTCAGTTTGGTTAAGATGATGTCGTTTAGTTTGCTTCGTGTAGATAATGTCTTAAGTTAGATAGCTTGGGTCTCAATACGTTGAGTCTGTTAGTTTGTTAGAGAGTCAAGGGCTGTTAGAGTGTTTACAGCATAGAAAATCAGAAAATGGGGTCGTGGGATCGTGATGGGCTGAGTCATGGGTTTAGTGATTGTATTTAAACTCATTTAGGGTAAATACAATTTAATATCCAAACCTTTCATTTTAAACAATATAATAGCCAAACCTTTTCGAAAACAATCTAATATCCAAATCGTCAACTTTTCGTTCGTTTGACCGTTAGTTGACACTTCAAAAAAGTTCAAAATACGACGTTTCATCAATATCCATCGATATCTTCTCTGAAAAACCACCAACATATCGTGGTTCCAAACCCGAGAAGTCCATGACTCCACCATGATGGTATAGAATATCTGAATATTCAGTCATCTGCAATGCTAAAACAAGAAAACAAAGTTGTATTGTGACAATTTCCCCTAAACAAAGCTTTTTTGAAGTGTCAACCAACGGTCAAACGGACGAAAAGTTGACGATTTGGATATTAGATTGTTTTCGAAAAGGTTTGGCTATTATATTGTTTAAAATGAAAGGTTTGGATATTAAATTGTATTTACCCTTTTTATTATCAATAAAAGCTGTCAGTTTGCCCCAACATTGCTTTCAGGGTGGAGGTGCCCTCTGACGGGGACAATGCAGGGGACAAAAACATGGTAGAGGCAATGATGGTGCTGGCGGAGGCGTGGAGGTTGCTGGAGAGCCTGCCGAAGAACCTGGCGGTGGCGATCCAGGACGTGAGGATTTCGAGGTTTTTGGAGCTGGAGAAGTTGGGATGATGCAGTGGCTGCTTCAGTTCGGTGCGTTCAAGGAGAGGTTGTTGGCAGATGATTTGTTCTTGGCGGCGGAGGAGCAGAGGAAGCAAGCGGCCAAGAAGCCGCGGCAGAGGAGATTTAGGATTTTGTTTTTCTAATTAATTTATCTCTTAGACATATATAATAAAATATAAAATAGTTAAAACTGAAATCATGACTAAATGAGGGACAATCGGGTCATTACCCAGTCTATTTAACTGTCACTTAACGGATAATTAGATGGAGGGGTAAATTTGTTACGATTTAATATTAGAAGGGTATGTTTGTGCACAAATTTAGTAAAGGTGTACGTTTGTTAATTTATCAAAGTAGAGGGGTACAAAATGCTATTAACCCAAATATAATTATGTGAGGGACTAATCATGTTACAACTACGATTATGCAAAACCAAAAATTCATCTACCCCTTCATCTTGCCGCAACTGATTGTCCCTCTCTCAGGCCTTACCCAGTATCACATTCGCATTACCCGCAAAGACCATTGACGTTATGTCGCCTAGTCAGGCACCACCAAAGCACATCACAAAAAGCTAGCAACTCCATAAGGAAAGAGTCAAAGATGCTCGTACTTTGTCAATGCGAGATTTAACTAAAGTGTTACATACCTCCCCTCAAGAGCTCAATGTCCTCGTCAAATTTTATCTCATCATCGTCCAAACGAGACGCGAAGAGGCTGTAGATAGTAGATACCACTTGTAAATGAAGTACCGTTATTCCCTTTTTTAGAATCAAGCAAAGCTTCTACGCCACTACATACATTACAGCTAGCTTATTACACAACCTTAGTTCCAGTACAGATAGTTGACTAAAATGGTGAGAAGGTTACTAATGATTAGGTCCCATGCATGATAATAGATACAAAACTGCAAATGCCAACAGCGAACTATAGCAGCCAAAGCAGAAGATATCCATAATAGGTAAACGACTAAATGCACATATCTCGTCACCATATCAAACGAACTCTCTCTCTCTCTCTCTAAAGCCAGCCAAGCATCCATCCATTCGGAGTAATAAAAAATGGTATTTTTTGACATTGTTAGCTTTTGATTCAGAGTATCCGACTAAGCCTCAATGGTTTGTTTAAGTCCATTCGGTGGAGCTTAGTTGTCCTACAGTATGGGCGTTTGTTTGTTTTTGCAGGGGCACGTAGTTTTTCCTTGACCATACAAGCATCCATCCATTATGATTCAATCTCGTGATGTGGCGCATGCGACAGGTGGAGCGATCTTGGAAGAGATTTGTTTGGCGTCTGTGTCTTTTAATTTCTTTATTTGTACTTTTGCGCCGAGGTTGTACAACAGGGCTGCCCATTTAGTGGCTTCTAATGCCCTTTAATCGACAGCTCGATATTGTGTCGACTGTCGCGTCTGATTATCTAGCGTCCTGTAATATCTATTTCATTCCCGATCTATGACAAAAAAAAAAAATCAGCGACGAGTGAGCGCAAATCCTATTCGCCCAAGGAATCAAATGGGTTCGTAAATTGGGCTTTAAGCGAATCATGATCATAATTGGGCCATAACTGAGATAGGCCTTAGTTTATGAGGCCTAATCCATCCGGCCCAACTTTCCAGGGCCCAACTCCGCGTATATGCTTCCTTCCTTCCAGCCGTCACCTCTGCCCTAGATTGACCTACCAGAATCTTTGGCGGAAATACGGCATACCATACGTGGTCACGTGGTGGTGCCATAAAAAATCGATCAATAATTAAAAAACAAAAGTGTTTTAAATATAAAATAAATGAACCCCAGATCCAAAAGAAAGAAAATAACAATTTGGCCAGCGAACTTTCATAGTCATCCCTATCGGTCACACAATTTTAATAGGAACTACGGATCCAAACCTTTATTTATTTATGTGTTCGATGACTAATTTGGCCAATCTCTCCAACTTCTAAGGGCGAATGAGTAATTTGACTTGACACACACCGCGGCAAAAACAACTCGGCAGCCTGTAACAAGCCAAGCCAGCTGCTTCCGTTTCAACTTTCAAGATCAAGAGGAGCTATAAATATGGCGTAGCTGCAGGACCCAGGAAATTATCCAAAAGGACCAAAACCCAACCTGCCCGACGAATCTATCAAAACCCAACTTCTCCCTTTTTTTCTGGATTCATTGGTTTCTCTTTCGCCTTCCACGCCAAGTTATACCTCCACTATTTCTAAAACCCTTCTTCTTTCATTTCGTTTCACATTCTCAACCGGAAATCATGGCGGAGCAGAAGGGATCCTCGTCGTCGTCGGGAAGTGGACGCCGGCTGGTGGTCGTTGGAGGAGGAGTTGCTGGTTCAATGCTCGCCAAATCAGCCCAATTCACTGCCGACGTCACCCTCATTGACCCGTAAACGCTCTTTCCTTTTCTACCCTCCTAATTCTAATGGTTTATTTGTAGTGGGATTCAATGTTTCTGTGTGTTTATGATTCCTTGGCCTGTTAATTGATGAATGGAGTACTCTTGAAGTTGAAGATGACCCAGTATTTGGGTTGCCCCCTCTGCTTTCTAACCATTAAACCTGCATTTCGCATTCTCAAATTCCGGGCTTCAATTGATGCATTTCTAGTCATCTGCATGTTAGGGCGATGGTGGATTTAGGGGAACTTGAACTAAATATCTCCTGCTGTTTGGAGAAATTTCAATCAGAATGGAACGCCTTTCTTAAACCCTAACTTACCAGGGGGATTTGTGAGAGGAAAGTGACTTGCTTTTCTACTTGTTCTCATCAATGTGGCGCAATGCTGGGGAGCCCTTTTTTCGCTCTGATACGCTATTGTATTTGTTGGGGTTGATATTGAACTGTATCAATGATTTCCAACAGGAAGGACTATTTCGAGATCACTTGGGCAAACCTGAGGAGTATGGTCGAGCCTTTGTTTGCAGAGAGAGCAGTGATCAAGCATCGAGACTACTTCACGAATGGGCGCGTCGTAACGTCCAATGCTATCAATATCACCGAGAAAGAAGTCATAACCGAAGAGGGCGAAGCAGTTGGCTATGACTATCTTGTTATTGCAACTGGGCACAAGGACCCTGTTCCTAAGACTAGGAAGGAAAGACTTGCTCAATACCATTCAGGTAAACACGAGGAGCACGGAATCAAGCTCTTCGCTTTATCCCTTGCCTTGCTTCTAATTCATGTTAGGGGTAGTAATAGAACAGAACTGAAGGCGGGATTGATATATTTCTAGATGATGCCTCGCTAGCTGTGAAGCTTAAGTCGAACATGTCTTTTGCTCCAATGTTGTTTCAGTTGTGTGTTTATGCTAGTACATCCTATGTGCAGACAATGATAAGATCAAGTCAGCTAGTTCCATTTTGATTGTTGGAGGGGGTCCTACTGGCGTTGAACTTGCTGGAGAAATCGCTGTTGATTACCCCGAAAAGCAGGTGACACTTGCTCATAACGGTTCGAGGCTGCTGGAGTTTATTGGGCCAAAGGCTGGAGACAAGGCATTGAAATGGCTGCAATCAAGGAAGGTTGAAGTGAAGCTGGAGCAGAGAGTCGATCTAGACAATGTCTCAGATGCTGACGGCAGCAAAACGTATCATACCTCATCCGGGGAAACCATCCAAGCAGATTGCCATTTCTTGTGCACTGGGAAACCACTGGCCTCGTCATGGCTCAAGGATACCGTGTTGAAGAGTCACTTGGATGCTAAGGGAAGGCTGATGGTTGATGAGTATTTGAAGGTCAAGGGCAGAGATAATGTCTTTGCGATCGGAGATATCACCGACATTCCTGTAAGTTGACATCCCCCTTCTTTTGCTCTTAGTAGTTATAGTATGTTTCTTTACTGACGAAACCGCTGCAAAATCGACTCACAGGAGCTTAAACAAGGGTACTTGGCGCAAAACCATGCTACAGTTGTTGCGAAAAACCTCAAGGAAACTTTAAGCGGAGGAAAGCCGTGCAGAATGAGCACTTACAAGCCAGGATCAGACTTGGCAATCGTTTCACTGGGCAGAAGGGATGCAGTGGCACAGTTCCCATTTATAACAGTTAGTGGCATTCTTCCAGGCTTGATCAAATCCAAAGACTTGTTTGTGGGGAAAACCAGAAAGGCGATGGGGCTAGACCCTAATGTTGTAGACCATTGAAGCATCAATGTGTTACTGAATCACTTGGCGTGATCGTGTTGTATTTGTACGCGTCTTCCTTAATGTTTTCTTGTTCTTCCTGTATTTAAGGTTCGGCGTTGGTGGTTTGTGTGGGGGGATGTGATGCAATGTTATGTGCTATAGATTCGAGCTTCGCTAAGTTGTTGTATGATGTGTTCTTTGTAGGGTTGGTCACCCGAATTATACGATTGAATTCACATTCGAATTGAACGCTTTTTTTTTTTTGTGCGTATGTGATCATTAAGTAGTAAATGGAGAGCATCATTACAAATGAGAAGAGAAAGGGAGAAGAGGCAAAATCCCTAGCCAATGACAAAAAATACACAAGGAGAACAAGAAAGGGATTTAAATGATCCCTCATCCTTACTCAGTTCTTTTTGCCGTCACTAGTCACAGTCATCAGATCTCTTTCTTTCTAGTCAGAACACCAGAAAAAGGGGAATCCGCTAGGATAACGGAAACTGAACGACATTTCTGATGGTACCGGCGTCCAGTTTCTAATAGCTGCTTTTTTGGCAACTAATGGCGTCACCCCTTTAGCAGCCTAAAGTCAAGCACCATGTTTCGTATTAGAAGTTTACAAGAATATCAGATGTAGCCATGTAGGTTGGTGGCATTATTCACTTTCATCCACTCATATGTTTCGTACTAAGCACATCTCGTTTCCTAATTATAACATATTTGTCGTTAAGAGTTTCATCGTACATGGGTTATTGCACCCCCCACAAAATCAACTCATTGTCCTGGTCTCAACCTGACTATGGTGCTCATAGCCAAATCTGTGAGAACGTGCTCACAGGGACGTATGATTGTGGGATAACCCGGCTATGGTGCTCACAACCAAATCTGTGAGAACGTGCTCACAAAGACACATAATTGTCGGATCGAGCGCCGGACGCTCCACGATCATTGGATCTATGCGGTGATATTGTGAGCATATATTCTCGTAACCGCCCTGTGAGCACCATAGCTGGATTGATACCAGTGCCACCTCATTCAAGTCCATCTTCTTCCCTCCCTCCCTCCCTCCCTCCAATGATGAAACGAGCTGAAGATTGATTGATAGAGAAGAAGGACAGCAAGCAAGCAAATAGCAAAGCGGCAGTGGGGGGTGGCAATGACGCCATTGACGTTGCCTGTGGCCATCGCCTCCATCCATCATCCCATCTCTTGGCTCCAATCAAGAACGGCGCACCCCTCAGGTGCTTTTCCTCCTCCGTCTGACAAAATTATACAGTAGAATAATAACAAGCAGAGAAGATCCCCTGCTCTGTTTTCCTCTGTTTCGCTTAAAACGGCTGCTCTGTTCAATCATTTGCTTCCACTACTGAATTTTATCTCTCTCTCTCCCTCTCTCCTTCCACACTGCCCAGCTTGATGGTATAAATAGAGCGGTATTCTCCTGTTTACAGAACTCATACAACTCCAACTTCTACTCATCTTCCTCCCCTGAAGAGATCTTGATTAGCAATGGCGTCTCGTATTAACTCCATGAATAAGCTCCCCCTTTGCTGCATACTCATGGCCACAGCATTCCTGTTTATGGTCTTCTCGTCACTTGTCACAGCCTCCCACGATGAAGCTTCAGTCTTACCACCGTCTGCAGCTTCCCCTGCAGCCCGTACGAGGAAGGTCTGCTTCTCTGTGTTCTACATTTCTTTCTTCTTTTCTTCTTCCCTCCCCCCTGTTTTATTACTCTTATTGATTTCTTACAACCGTGCGTTTCAGGTACTGCTTTCTGCAGTGAAGGGTTCTGATAACAAAGGGCTGATCCATGGAAATGCTGCTGGAGGAGCCAAGGATGGAGATCAGGAGGAGCTGAGGTCAGTTCCATCAGGACCAGACCCTTTGCACCATAACGGTGGAAGCCCCAAGAAGCCCAGACCTTCTTCCCCTTGATCTTTGTGAATGCAGAGTAGGAGAGGCTTTTTGTAGCTAGTGGCTTCAGATAATGCTAACTCCCTTTAGTTTTGGGGGGCGGTTTTGAACTATGTATCCATGCATCTACGTATCCTTCCTCTGTTTTTCCCCCTCCCCTGTTTTGGGGTTAATTTTGTTGTAGCAATTGCTTCTGCAGTTGCCTGTTGAAATTGTAATGCAGACGTAAGAAATGGTATAATATATTAACTATTTACATTATCATTCATCTCTTTCTTCTTTTCTGAACTAGTAAAAATGAAAAGTCAAAAGTTGGAGAGATCGGAAAAAGGAGCAGGAAATAGCAAATCATAACCTGGATCCGCAGGTACTACTACAAAGCAAACCAGCAAACTAGATGCTCTGTTTCTGCTGCGACAGCGACAGAAAAGGGCCTGCTAACGCAATGCAGATTATGTAATAAAGAATGCTGTCCGTGTCAATCAAACTCAGATTTGGGCGCGCTTTTAATTAGTTATGACGTCAATCTTGTTACCTGTTGGCGTTCCATTACCTCTGCCCTTGCTTCAGTATAGAGTATACCATATATGTGCTGAACTTCGTCATGGGACTTGTCGGCAGCCACAAACTCATGAATGCTCGGTCCTGACTTCAATCGAACTGTACCCTGGTGTCTTATCCCAAGTGCCTTCATCTTCCTCCTAATCTTGCTAGCTCCTTCCCACTTCCCTACACCCGCGTATAGATTGGCCAGTCTCACGTTATTTGAATCGACATCAGGCTGTAGATCAACCACACGGTTCATTACCCTCTCGGCTATTGCGGTGTCTTCGTGAGCTCTGCAGGCTGTGACTGTGAGAAGGGATCCCAATATGACTTCGTTCGGGTTCATGGGCATGGTTTCGATTACTTTGATTGCAGCTTCCAAGTTCCCTGCTCGGCTGTAAAGGTCCACCATGCATCCGTAGTGCTCGATCCTGGGGAAGATTCTGCACTCTTTTTTGTCATGAGGTTGAAGTACTTCTGTCCTTCTTCGATGAAACCGACATGGCTGCTGGCGGTGAGAGCGCGTGAAACTGACTCCATCTGGCTCGAATCCTTGTTCCTGCATCCGTTTGAAGTACTGCAAAGCTTCCTTGGCAAACCCGTTTGCTGCTAGACCAACGAGCAATGAATTAAACGAGACCAATGTTCTGTTGGGCATTTTGTCGAACACCTGGCGAGCTAGTTCCACACCTCCGCATCGAGCGTACATGTCAATCAGTGAATTGCTTATCCTGATGTTGTCTCTGAATTCTTGTTTCAAGACATAGCGATAAATCCACAATCGGCTCCCGCGTTAGCACAAGCGGCAAGAACCGAGATATTAGTCACGTAGTCAGGTTCGGCTTTGGGAGACCTGCAGATCTCTGAACGACTCTAGTGCTTGCTCAAAGCAACCCTTTTTAACAAAACCCATCGATCAGCAGTGTCCAGGAAACCGCATCCCTTTGAGGCATTTCATCGAACAGCTGCACCGCAACATCCATCTCGTCATTCCTCATGTGCCCATCAATCAACGTGTTCCAGGAAAACCGAATTCTTCACCTCCAGATCATCGAAGCAAACCCGTGCAAGCTACACCTCGCCGCATTTGCCGTACATTTTGACCAGCGCCGTCCCGACCATCATGCCGATCCAGCCCCAGTTTTCGCACGTAGGAGTGGATCATGGGACCGAAGGACCTGCCTGCCTTCCGCCGGGAAATCGGCGCAGGTGGAGAGGAGGATTGTGAAAGTGACGTGATTGGGTTCGACGGCGGAGCGGCGCATTTGGGTGAAGAGCGCGCGGCGGCTTGGGCGAGTTGGCCGGCACGGCAGAGGCGGGAGATGGAAGAGGTCCATGAAACTGTGGGGTGCTGATAGGAGATTTTTTTGATGGAAAGGTTCGATTTTGAAGGATTTCGAGTTCGGAATTGGTGCGGCGGTTTGATGTCCGGTAGCGGTGGCGGCTGCTGACGGAGTGTGAGTTGGGTAGTTGAAGAAAGGGCGGGAAGCGCCATTTGTTTCAAAAGACCGTTTTCAGAAGAAGAAAACAAAGACGGATGACCAAATTATCGAGTGTGGACGCGGCGGCGGGAGGTTAGGGTTCACTTTCACCCGATCATCAGCTCTATATCTCATCTAACGGTGGAAGATAAAAAAAAGGGTATTTTTGGAAGCTACAAATGAAGAAAATTAGTCCGAAATTTAAGTCAATCGTTTTTCATATGTTCTGGGTTAACCGAATCACATTCAAATTTCGCAATGAGTGAATGTTTTTCCTTCTTCTGATGATTGGATTCCATTACGAGTAGTAGAGTATGTTGGGTTGGTCCAACTCATATGGTGGTTGGATTAACCGGTTTGAGTTTGAGTTTTGGTTGGTTTCTAGAAGTTCCTCTATTTTCAAAATAGAGAGTTATTGCTACTCAAAAGTGAAAAGAGTTGACAGCCTTTCATTTGTAGAGAGAGAATCAAGAAAAGAGAAGAGATAAGGAAAAAGAGAGAAGAGAGGAAGAGCTGCAGGTTTTCGTTTCTGCAGCAGGGCAGCCTGTTCAAGTGAGCATTCTGGAAGATTGAACCTTTGGATCGTCCTGAAATTTGGACAGTGGGTTCGCGATTCTCTGGGCTTCATTCTGACCGGAGGGATCGTCATTCTAAGGTCTAGTGGGTTGGAATCGCTCCTGGACAGAAGGTGTACGAATCTGTTTTTGGGTATCTCTCAACCTCTCTTTGTCTTGCTCTTGTTCTTGTTATCCACCATGTTGGTGAGAGCTATTATGGTTGATTGTTGATCCAAGAAGGGTGTTCTTGAGGTATTTGTAATCCTCTAACTAGTCTAGAGAGGACTTGTAATCCCACCAAAGTCTAGTGGAGTTGTGGCGTCCCGTGGTTTTTCCCGATTTGGGTTTTCCACGTTTAAATCGTGTGTCTTGTGCATTCTATTCTTGCTTGTGGTTGCTGCCCGGTTTCTCAACAGTGGTATCAGAGCATTAGGTTGTTTGGGGGCTGTGTTTGGTGAATGGCAAGAATGGATGACTCAAGTGGAGCAATGATTAAGTTGACATCATCCAACTACTCTATTTGGAAGCCACGGATGGAGGATATTTTGTTTTGCAATGATCTCTATGAGCCAATTGAAAATGGCAGCGAGAAGCCGGAAGACAAAACCGAGAAGCAATGGGAGGTCTTGCATAGAAAGGCGGTGGCAATCATTCGACAATGGATTGACCAAAGCATCTTTCATCATGTTGCAAAAGATACAAGAGCAGATGAATTGTGACAGAAATTGGAGTCCATGTATGAGAGGCAATCGGCTCAAAATAAAGCCTCACTCATTCGAAGAATTGTGAACTTGAAGTACAAGGATGGACATAGTGTCTCAGATCATTTGAGTGACTTTCAAGGGCTTGTGAACCAGCTAACTACTATGAAGTTAGCACTTGATGATGAAGTGCAAGCATTGTTACTTTTTAGTTCTTTGCCGGATAGTTGGGAGACTTTGGTGGTCTCACTTAGCAACTCAGTACCTAATGACAAGTTGACGATGGACATTGTCAAGGATAGCATGCTGAATGAAGAGGCAAGGAGAAAAGAGTTGGGGATTACATCGGAGTCACATGCTTTGGTGGCGGATAATTCTGGAAGTCGTGGAAGAAGTAGAAATCGAAATTTCAACTTCAAGAACTCTCAGAATCGAAGTAACAGCCGAGGGAGATCAAAAGGGAGATCAAAATCATTATCAAGACCAAGAGGAGAAATCACATGTTATCATTGCAACCAGCCCGGACACATGAAGAGAGAGTGCAGAATCTTGAAACGGGAACAAGCTAGAGGAAAAGGTGTGGAAAATCGAGAAAAAGATGATACTACTGCTGCTGCCACAGATGGTGATGTAGTCATTGTTTGTGATGCCGGTTTTGTTAACCTTGCTTGTCAAGAGAGTACATGGGTTGTTGACTCGGGTGCCTCATTCCATGTGACCTCAAGGGTTGATTTTTTCTCTTCCTACACAAACGGTAACTATGGTTGTGTGAGGATGGGAAATGATGGCGCATCAAAGATTGTTGGCATGGGTGATATTCATCTAGAGACCAACACGGGTTGCAAGCTAGTCTTGAAGGATGTGAGACATGTTCCTGACATGAGGCTGAATTTGATATCCACGGGAAAGCTTGATGATGATGGTTATACCAACTATTTTGGAGAAGGAAAATGGAAGCTCTCAAGAGGTTCTCTTGTGGTGGCCAAAGGCAAGAAGGAAAGTACGCTCTACATGACAAATGCAAAGCATAGCAAGGGAGGAATCAATGTTGCTGAGAAAGATTCTTCTATTGAGCTTTGGCATAAGAGACTCGGTCATTTGAGCGAGAAGGGGCTGCAAATACTCTCCAAGAAACAACTCTTACCCGGAGCTAAAGGTACTCTTCTTAAAACTTGTGTTCATTGCTTAGCCGGAAAAACTCATAGAGTTGCATTTCATAGATTTCCACCTTCTAGAAGGAGTAAGGTACTTGATCTAATTCACACCGATGTTTGTTTTATGCGAGATAAAACTCTTGGTGGTGCAAGCTATTATGTTACCTTCATCGATGATCACTCAAGGAAGGTGTGGACATATGCTTTGAAAACGAAGGATCAAGTGCTAGATGTTTTTAAGCAATTTCATGCTGAAGTGGAAAGGGAAACCGGCCTCAAGTTGAAGTGTGTAAGGGCTGATAACGGGGGAGAGTATAGAGGTCCATTCGAAAGCTACTGCAGATTGCACGGAATTAAACTGCAGAAAAGTGTACCCAAGACTCCACAACAAAACGGTGTCGCCGAGAGGATGAATAGAACAATTTGTGAGAGAATCAAGTGTATGCTCTCACATGCCAAGCTACCTAAATCATTTTGGGGAGAAGCAATGCGGACAGCCGTTGATCTAATCAACCTTTCGCCATCGGTCCCTTTGGAGGGTGATGTGCCACAACGAGTTTGGACGGGAAAGGAAGTCTCATATGAGCACTTGCGAGTGTTCGGTTGCAAAGCTTATGTTCATGTTCCAAAAGATGAGAGAGCAAAGCTTGATGACAAAGCAAAGCCATGTATATTCATGGGCTATGGGCGTGAAGAGTTTGGGTACAGATTATGGGATCCAATTGCAAGGAAAATTGTTCGGAGCCGGGATGTGATTTTTCTTGAAGATGAGACAAGTGAAGACATCGAAAGGGGTGAAAAGAAGAAAAATACAGCAGCTGGTCCAGTTAATTTGGAGCCTATATCTCCATCTCAAATGCATGAAAATGTTGAGGAAGTAGTGCATAATGAGCCCCAAGGTGCACTAGATCAAGAAGTGCAAGGAGAAGAGCAATTGGAGCAAGAAGAACAAGTTGAAGAAGAGCAACCTCTACCCGAACCAAGAAAGTCAACAAGAGATCGCAAAGCTTCCACTTGGTACTCCCCTCATGAGTACCTATTGTTGACTGACGGGGGAGAACCCGAATATTATCAAGAAGCCATGTCTCATGAAGACAAGGAGGAGTGGAACAAAGCAATGCAAGAAGAGATGAAGTCTTTGCAAGAGAATCACACCTATGATTTGGTGAAGCTACCCAAAGGGAAAAGATCACTTAAGAACAAGTGGGTTTACAAGTTAAAGACGGAGGAAACTAGTTCAAAGCCTCGGTTTAGGGCGCGACTAGTTGTGAAGGGCTTCAACCAAAAGAAAGGTGTTGACTTTGAAGAAATTTTCTCTCCCGTGGTGAAGATGTCTTCTATCCGAGTTGTGCTTGGGTTGGCTGCAAGTTTGGACTTGGAAGTTGAACAACTCGATGTGAAGACGGCGTTTCTTCATGGTGACTTAGAGGAAGAGATATACATGGATCAGCCGGAAGGGTTCGAGGTTAAAGGCAAAGAAGATCTTGTATGCAGATTGAGAAAGAGCTTATATGGGTTGAAGCAAGCACCAAGACAATGGTACAAGAAATTTGACTGATTCATGGTCAAAAACGGGTATGCAAGAACTACCTCCGATCATTGTGTGTTTGTGAAATACTTTGCTGAAAATGATTTCATCATTCTCTTGCTTTACGTGGATGACATGTTGATCGTGGGTCGGAATGTTGGAGAGATTGATAGATTGAAAAAGGAGTTGAGTAAATCCTTTGCCATGAAGGACCTAGGACCGGCGAAACAAATTCTAGGGATGAGAATCTCTAGGGATCGAAAGAATGGAAAATTTTGGTTGTCTCAAGAAAGGTATATTGAAAGAGTTCTTGAGCGGTTCAACATGAGCAAGGCTAAGGCGGTTAGTACTCCACTTGGAGGACATTTCATATTGAGTTCGAAGCATTGTCCTACAAGTGAGGAAGAGAAAGAAGCAATGAAGAATGTGCCTTATGCATCAGCTGTTGGGAGCTTGATGTATGTTATGGTTTGCACAAGACCGGATATTGCTCATGTAGTTGGGATTGTCAGTCGGTTTCTTTCCAATCCGGGGAAAGAACATTGGACAGCAGTGAAGTGGATTCTTCGCTACTTGAGAGGTACTTCTAGAGTGTGTCTATGCTTTGGTAATGGCAAGACCATACTTGATGGATATACCGATGCTAATATGGCAGGTGATGTGGACTCTAGAAAGTCGACTTCTGGATACATGATGACTTTTGCAGGTGCTGCAGTTTCATGGCAATCTAAACTGCAAAAATGTGTTGCATTATCAACAACAGAAGCCGAGTACATAGCCGTGACAGAAGCTTGCAAAGAGATGTTATGGTTGAAGAAGTTTCTTCAAGAGTTGGGCATCAAACAAGAGAGGTATGTGCTCTATTGTGATAGCCAAAGTGCAATCCATCTTTGCAAGAATCCAACTTTCCACTCAAGATCGAAACACATAGATGTTCGATATCATTGGATTCATGATGTTTTGGAAGAGAAGTTGTTGGAGCTCAACAAAGTGCATACGGATGACAATGGTTCGGACATGATGACTAAGTCTCTACCAAGTGGAAAACATATCTTCTGTCGAGATGAAGCAGGTTTGGTGCTACCCCCCATATGAGCTGGAGGGGGAGATTTGTTGGGTTGGTCCAACTCATATGGTGGTTGGATTAACCGGTTTGAGTTTGAGTTTTGGTTGGTTTCTAGAAGTTCCTCTATTTTCAAAATAGAGAGTTATTGCTACTCAAAAGTGAAAAGAGTTGACAGCCTTTCATTTGTAGAGAGAGAATCAAGAAAAGAGAAGAGATAAGGAAAAAGAGAGAAGAGAGGAAGAGCTGCAGGTTTTCGTTTCTGCAGCAGGGCAGCCTGTTCAAGTGAGCATTCTGGAAGATTGAACCTTTGGATCGTCCTGAAATTTGGACAGTGGGTTCGCGATTCTCTGGGCTTCATTCTGACCGGAGGGATCGTCATTCTAAGGTCTAGTGGGTTGGAATCGCTCCTGGACAGAAGGTGTACGAATCTGTTTTTGGGTATCTCTCAACCTCTCTTTGTCTTGCTCTTGTTCTTGTTATCCACCATGTTGGTGAGAGCTATTATGGTTGATTGTTGATCCAAGAAGGGTGTTCTTGAGGTATTTGTAATCCTCTAACTAGTCTAGAGAGGACTTGTAATCCCACCAAAGTCTAGTGGAGTTGTGGCTTGGACAAAGGTCCCGTGGTTTTTCCCGATTTGGGTTTTCCACGTAAAAATCGTGTGTCTTGTGCATTCTATTCTTGCTTGTGGTTGCTGCCCGGTTTCTCAACAGAGTAGTTATGTATTGGATTGTTACGTATGTCGTTTTCATTCAAAAATTTCTAACAAAAATCCAAATTACATAATGTGGGAGGCAATCACGAAAGGCATTGATGATGAAGTTTCTCGTTTGGTCAAATCCACTTTCTGAGCCGGACACGACCTCTGAAAAAGAATTATGTGTCGTTGTTTTCTTTCTTCTGCGGCTGGATTGACCATCAGAAGAATAATTCCTCTCACTTTGGAATCGGAATCCACTTGCCCATAAAGAGATCATATTGATGGATTATGCAACAAGTGGTGAACGTACAAGAAAGATGAGTACTCGATTCATTGGTAAAGTTCGTTTAACTTCACATACGAATATAAACATTGTTGAGGATAACTAAGATGATAAACTTGTTGAAATGATTTCACTTACGGTTATTTGTAGTAATTTCTTAACGCAGTTATATTTATTTGCTATTAAATCACAGTTTGTCAATGATTGATGCACAAATCTTGGCACCCGAGATTGATACGAATATTAGGGAAATTTGAGAGATTTAAAGGAATTGAGAATGACAAAGAAGAGCTTGAGAATGAGAAGAGGAAATCATTTAGACGAGAAAGAAGAGATTAGGGAAGATATGAATTTGGAATTTGAGGAAATATATTGAACTATTGTTGTTATTCCATATCACGTAACTGAACGTACAATGTACATTATTATACACTCTAGCCAAAACCTTAATCGATTTAACATGACAAAATGTGAAAGCCACCCCTAAATTGAATAATCCAAAAGGACATGTTTCCATAATTGCATTATCGCTAGGGATGACAATTTTGCCCATACCCATGGGTATTTTACTATCCAACCCAATTGGGTTGGGTATGAAATCCAAATATATGGATATGGGTAAAGTTTGATGAGTTTGTACCCATACCCATTTACTTTGGGTTGGGTTGGGTTTATAACAAATGGATTTGGGTTTGTACCCATGCCCAAATACAAATTACAGTTTGGTACCTAAACTTAATAGATATGCATATTTAGTACCTAAATTTAATTTTTTTTGGCATATAAGTCCTCAAAATATCGATGGAAAATTACGTTTTGGTACCTAAATTTTTTTTGTCTTACATTTTGGTACCTAAAATTTTCAAGTTTTACAAATAAGTCCAATTTTTGCATGTGTAGTTAAAACACCCTCAAGTAAATGGATATCCATATCCAACCCATACCCATTTAGATAATATCCATATCTAACCCAAACACATATACAAACCCCAAACCCATACACACATCACCCAAACCCTACCCATAATAAATAGGTCTACTTGGGTTTGGGCAAAATTACCCATGGGTGGGTAAATTGCCATCCCTAATTATCGCCAATGCTCTGGATCAAATTTTACTGTAGCAACAAAATATCTTGTGAAGGATCAGATCAGCAGCATGTAGATTGACTGAAATGTTGTTCTTTTACTCCCTTTGTAGTACTCAATTACTCAAGGACAAATTAGATTTTTCCCACCAAAAGAAGCACCATAACAGCCACATAATCTTTTGCTGCTAGGGCTGGCTCACATTTGATAGCAACAGCTTAACGGAAAGAAGAGTGGCACTGCAATTTATAGGACACACTGCAGAGCTGCACATGGCAAGCCCTCTCTTTCATATTTCTTCACTTACCTAACTAAAACATTATGAACCATACGCCAAACTTTTCTCCCATGGATGGAGATTGATTTGATTGTGACACCTACTCTCCAATTAAATTGCAACACCAATACCCAATTGTACGAGGATTGAGTCGCGTCGAATAACATAGCACTTAAGTCGAGACTGCCAATGAATTAAACGTCAACTCAAAAATGGACCATCAGTACTCAGTAGGCAAAAATGATTAGCCACGAACGTGTTCCTTGTAGTAGATATGACATAAATGAACTTTCCAAGTACATTAACCAAACATTGCATCGCTTCGACGTGAGCAAATCTCGGGTTGAGTCAAGTCGGTTGTCTATAGATCAAGTGCAGCATACAGCGAAAGCATCACATTAGATAAACAAAGAGAAAACAAGTCGAATTCGATCACAACCTTCAAGGAACTTGTTATGAAAGTAAACTAGCCAACTCAACCAACGAAAACAAAACTAATATGAAATCAACAACAAACGGGCATGTCTAGTTTCTATCTATCTACATCCACCACCAACACCATAAAACCAAAATGTCACATTCTCCACATCTCAAAACCTGGTAATATATCCGATACAACGAGACATTGACAGGATCATAGCACAAACTGAAGCATATACAATCACTTATCGACAATTACCAGAATTGAAGGAGTCAGGACACCAGGTCGCGCCAGCGGAGTGGCTGCTCTTGCTATCACCACAGTAGCTCACCGAAGTCGAAGAAGCTTCGTCCGAAGAGCTGCTCGTGCCTTTATCATGCCAGACTTTCAGTATCTGCATTAAGGGAGCATGGAGATCCATCCCGGCGAAGTTCTGAGAGATGTCCTCGGTCGGCTTCCACTTCTCCACGAGCGGTGCAAGAACGTTCACCGCGTGACTCATGTCGGGCCTCTGGCTGGGCTCTCTCGCGGTGCAGTGGCCTGCCAGCGCGACCACGATCGTGATGCTCTCGATTGTTTCTTCGGTCTTTTCGAGCGATGGGTCGATGGCGTTCATCATCTTGTCTCGGTCTGATGATCTGATGTGGCGAAACCAGTCTGGCAGGTACCGGGTTTCCTCAGCACGCTCTTCGTTCAGCGCGGTTAGCCCTGTCAGGAGCTCCATCAGCACCACTCCGTAGCTGAAGACATCGGATTTCGTCGTGATCTTTCCAGTTACTGCAACAGTAGAGTGTCAGTCTAATATAGAGAACATTCCAACAATAGCTTGTCATTCAAGTAACCCAGTCAATCATGTCGAAGTATTTTGAGTCCCGTGTTATTTTAACAACTACGTCCCTATAGTATAAGTTTACATACATGAGGTAAGAGCAACACTTACCAGCATATTCAGGAGCAAGATATCCAAATGTTCCAGCGAGCTTAGTAGCAACAGAATCATGTCCATTCTGAGCAAGCTTCACCAACCCGAAATCCGAGACCTTGGCACGAAAATCCTCCCCCAGAAGAATGTTGGACGACTTGAGATCTCGATGAATAAACGTCTCCCTAGCCATGCTATGAAGGTACTCCATTCCTCTAGCAACATCAAGTGCAATGCTCAACCTTCTCGTCCAAGAAAGAGGGTCCAAGTTAAACTTCTTCCACTGGAAAAGGTGTCTACTCAGAGCACCCTGAGACATATACTCATAGACAAGTAGTCTCTCACATCCTCCGATAGCGTACCCCAAAAGCGAGACTAAGTGGCGGTGGCGAGCTTTAGAAAGAACAGCTATCTCCGCTTCAAACTCGCCAAGGGCTTTGCTGTTGATCACACCAGCCTCCATTCTCTTGACAGCTATCATCGTCCCATCTTCTAGTTGACCTTTATAGACAGTTCCGAATCCTCCGTGGCCAAGCTCATTCTCTGGGTCAAAGTCATTGGTCACCTTCTTAAGAACCTGGACTGATAAGATCATGCCTCCAGAGTCCATCATACGAGAGCCCTCAGTTGTACCGCTACTCAGTGAAGTGTTGGACAATCTCCCAGTATAGTTACTTACGACTGCAATTTTCAAATTGCGTTCGGGGTCAGATGGATCCCTAGGGTGAACTACAAACAAGCTCGAGGCCCCTGATGCTTTCTTCCTTTTCATACAGCTTAAATATAGACACAAACCAATCACCAAGAGAATCAATAGTGAACCTGCCACAAAACCAGCTACCATAACCAGTTTGTTCCCTTTCGATTTTTCCTTCACTTGGGCAGTTGAATTGGCTAAAGATGGCACACTAGAAGACGATGGTGGTGACCTTATAATTGGCTTCCTCCCGGGTGGAGTGGCTTGTGAACTTGGAGGAAGTGGAGAGCCAATAGGAGGAGAAAGGGGTTGACCTTGATTGACCAGAAGAGGGTTTCCATCGATGACGAGCTTAACACCATCATGGAATTTGGGTAATGGAGGACTTAGATTGTTGCCACTAACATCCAGCACTCTTAAGGCCTCCAAACTAGTGAAATTTTCAGGAATCGAACCGGTTATATTGTTTCCTTGTAGATTGACATGAAGCAATGAAGTGAGCTTAGCTAGAGAAGGGCTGAGAGTACCAGTTAGATTCCGTCGAGGCAAGTTGATCACAGAGACTTTGGAGTTAGCATCACAGTTCAACCCGGGCCATGGCACTCCACAGGGATCATTGCCACTCCATTCAGAAGCAATGCTCACAGGATAATTCAAATCAGCAACGAAATCTAACAGCACATTGACATCCTCGGCACAAGGAAGCCCCGGTTTAGATTGACAAAATGAATTGGAATCAAAACTAACCTTGCTTGCCTTGAACTTTGGGATTGGACCCATGAAGTGATTGTTGTTCAAGTCCAAGTTTTCAAGCTCAAGATCAGCCAATCCCTGAGGAATCACACCAGCTAGCTTGTTTCCATTGAGATTGAGCCTTTTCAGCAATACCAGAGCTCCAATACTATTAGGAATCGTCCCGGTGATCGAATTCCCCTGAAGCCAGAGTTCTGTCAATGAAGTCATTTTACTAACAACATCCAATGTACCACTCAACCCCCCTCCCTCCTGGTTATTCAGCCACAGAACCGTCATCGAAGACTGCCCGAAATTCGCAGGGATTTCGCCCGCCAACTGGTTGTAAGAAAGCCTCAGAGAGTTCAGAAGCGGCATTTTCCCTACAAAATCAGGCAATGGCCCGACCAAGCTGCAATTGGAAATGGACAGATTGGTCAGCTGACTGGAGCCTTCCAAGGCAGCCGGGAAAGACCAACCGGCGGTGCGGTTCAAAGGGTTGTTATCCAAGGAGAGAACTCGAATGCTGGCTAACCCATCGAAGAAATCAAAAGGAATCGCGTCGAAATGATTGAAATCCAAAAAGGCGTATTGCAATTCGGATAAACCTCTGAAAGTGGGCAGCTTGCCGGCGAAATCGTTCCTCTGGAGGCCCAAGTTGTAGAGCTTGGTGAGCTGGTTGAAATTCTCCGGCAGTGAACCCACGAGGCTCAAATTCTGGACCTGAATCTGGGTCACCCTCCCGTCGGAACAGAACACGTGGGGCCACAACGGCGGGCCACACGGGTCATCGTCGCCGCCGCTCTCCGGCCACCGGAGAAGCTCTGGGTTTTTCAGCCCCTTCTTGAAATCCATCAGCACTTTGAAGTCGTTAGGATCCGTAACGGCGTGAACCCGTCTCAGGAAACACAGAATCAACAGCAACCCAACTCTCAGTCGGCTCACATCCCCACTTTCCGCCATCGCCGACAATCAAATTATACTTTTGTCCCCTTTTTCTTCCCCTGGGTTCACAATGTAGCTCAGAATTACGGGAAAAGACTGAAACTTTGGGAACTGGGCGGCATGGAAATTGGAAAGCGAATTCCAGTTGTAGAGACAGGTGTCCAGAGACAGGGAGAGTGGAATTTACACGCAAATGTGAACAGAAACTGAAGCGGCGAACGAAGACGGAGGAGGGGACGGAGGAATTCGCGGGGCGAAAAGAAGATCAATTTGGTCCTAAATTTTCATGGGTTTGGATTGAAGAAGCCGATTATGATTACGAGGGGGTGGAGAGAAGAAGGGGAAGTGAGAGCTTTTCTTGACAGCTCCATTTTTTTGCATTGATGATTGTCACTCTTCTTCTGTGCTCTACTGCTCTTCATCCTCTCTCTCTCTAGCATAATGGACTAACTTCTGCTCGATCCTTCTCCTTTTGTCTGCTTTAGACGAGATTTCGGTTGGTGGGTCAAATTACATCCCCCATTTTTAGTACGGTAGGCCACCCTCGGTTCCTTGGATTGCCATTGTTGCCGCCTCCGACTCCACTCTACGCGCTGTATTGAGCAGCAGTGACGGAGAGATTTTTTTTTCGTTTTCTCAATTTCTTCTAAAAATTAGCAGGCAACCAATCGGTTAGACCGGTTGTGATCATGTTGTGGTTGAGTCGGTTGGTTCAACCTAACATAATGTTTATGTGTACTATCTATCAAAATCAACACAACTAATACGAGCCATTTTACTATGATATAAAGTATTGATTTTTTTTTTTTTTGCATTATGGGAGGCAGAAGCCAAGACAAGAGAGGATTACATGGTGGGAGGAGAGGAGTTATAGTGGCGGGGAACAATACGTCGCTCAAAGGACGTTCCCCTCATATCATTCTGGAGAATGGACACAACACTTGATGGCGGGTGTACAAGCTCATGCACACCGTAGGGATAGACGAAATTGTGCTTCGAGAGCCAATCCGCAACTCTATTCCCTTCACGGTATACATGAACAATGCGCACCAGCCAATCACGATTAATACTCCGACGAATGGAAGCTAAGAGAGTGGCATACGGATGAACCAAGTCGTGTCTGTCCTTAATCAACTGGATGGCCAGCTGCGAGTCTGACTCTACCACAAGCTGACGATGACCGGACTTCCAAGCTAAGTCAAGGCCATGAAAGATCGCCAATAACTCTGCCAAAGTCGCAGTTGCTTTCCCAATCATTGCCAAGAAACCTCTGATCCAACGGCCTGAATCATCTGGCAAGACACCTCCCGCACCAGCCAGACCTGGATTCCCGTTTGATGCGCCATCAGTATTCAACTTCACCCATCCATCCACCGGAGGAGTCCAAGCAATGTCCGCCACAATCTTGGCGGCGGGTAGGGCTGGAAGTTTGGTACCGGTATTTGGGATATTCCGAATACCGTACCAAATTTGTCTATATTTGGTATTACCGAATACACGTATTATTTTTTGGGATTGAGATTGGGATTGAATTTCAATTGTTATTCGGTATTAGGGATTACGGTATTGGGATCGGGATATACCGAAATACCGATCAATACCGAAATATAAGCTAGTTTGTATTTTATCCTCTCAACTAGACTCTCTCATTTACTACTAAATGACCATCAACCACCAAAAGTGTCATTTAATTATACACAAATCATTCCATCATTATTAATAGTCGTCTCTCAACCTCTAATTCGTCAAATTAAAGATTATCAATAACAAGAACTTGAGATGTCTCCTCTCCTCCACTCTCCATAATAATATCCTAATTCAAAACTCTTTGCTTAGTCTTTTTCCCGTAAATTAAACAATAAAATCTAATTTATATATTTAATTATTAATTGCAAAGGTAATTAATTTCGTATTTGATAATACCGATTGGGATATCGAGGTACCGATTGGGATACCGAAATATTTAGGGATTGGGATACCGAAATTATTTAGGGATTGGGATTGAGATTGACTTTAGGGTGTAATTCGGTATTCGGGATTTCGGTATTTGGTATTGGGATACCGATACCGTACCGATTTCCACCCTAGCGGCGGGGGTCGCCCTCAGGTTCGGCAGCAAAGAAGGAGCACGCCAAGCTTCGTTCCAGAGCCTCGCTTTGGCATTGATGGAATGGGCTAAAGAAGGTGGAGTAAGAGTCCGAGATACTCCCTTGAAACACATGTCATTCCTATTTTTCCAAATAAGCCAGGCGGCAATGCTGAAGAGAGTTGTCCACTCAATTTCCGATCCTCCACTATATGCTTCATCAAGATTCATTCGAAACCAATCAACTGCGGTCGCCGAGAAGAACCTGTGCTGCCTGTTGCTGGGAACGTGTCTGGTCCAGAAGTAAACTGCTGGTGGACAGTCTCTGAGAACATGGAGAACAGACTCCACCTGTCCGTTGCAACGAGTGCAAATGGGAGAATCGGCTATGCGCCTGGAAAAACGGAGGGAATTAGTCATCAATTTCCCGAGGCAGGCTAGCCACATGAAGCACCTTATTCGCTCAGGAACGGGAAGCCTCCAGATAATCTTCCAATACTTGGTATCTATGTCGGTGTCTGGCGGCAGCAAGGATTGGTAGGCCGATCTCGTGGAGAACCTTCCGTCTGAAGACAATGACCAGAAAAGAGTGTCCTCCTCATTTGCCAACTTGTCCATCGCCACTCCAGTGATTTTTTGTTGAATCTCCTGGGGAAGAAGGTCTTCAAACTAGTATGTCCGCCAAACCCCTTCGTCCGTGGTCAGATCCGCCACAACCTCATCAATCCGAGAGCTAGGAATCTCTTCCAACGCGAAGTTCTTGAGAGGTTCCTGCAAAATCCATGAGTCATGCCAAAATTTAGTAGTTCTTCCGTTCCTAATATTCCACGCACACCCTCCTTTTAGCAAAGAGGAAGCTTTAGTAAAGCTTCTCCAGGTAAAAGAACTTCCCTGAGTTGGGTGGAAAAGATCCAGATTCTCCTTGTTATGACCATATTTCGCTTTGATGACTTGGGTCCAAAGCATATCTTTCTCCTTAAGAAGCCTCCACCCACTCTTAGCTAGCATGGCGAGGTTCGCATTCAGCACGGAACGAAGCCCCGCTCCTCCTTGACTCTTTGGCAACACCATCTTTTCCCAGGCAACTAGGTGCATTTTAGACTTGTCTTCCTCCTCTCCCCAAACAAAGTCCCTGTTGATACGATCATAGAAGCACAAACACCCTTAGGCAGGAGCTCTGTATGCATATGATAAGTGGGTAGAGAGGAAATGATAGACCTGAACACCGTCAGCCGAGCCGCAAGAGAAAGGCGCTTCGCCTTCCAGGGTGCCAACTTCTTCTGGATCCGCAAGATAAGTCCTTGGTACCGCCCTTTAGTCACCCGGCCGTGAATACCATGGATACCGAGATATCAACCAATCTCCGTCTTCAGCGGAATCCCCGCTCTCTCGCTTAAAAAGCGCGCTTTGCACCGATCAACATTGGGCGACACGAACATCAAGGATTTACCAAAATTAATACGCTGTCCGGAGCTGGAACAAAAGTCTTCTAGACACTGCTTGATGATCCTAATCTGCCTCGTCTCCGCTTCAGCAAAAAGTAACAGATCATCTGCAAAGAAAAGATGAGTAAGCGGTGGTCCATTTCTAGCAAGTCGAATAGGCTTCCATTGACCACTATGAAGGGTCTCATCAATTTTGTGAGATAATCATTCAATGCATAAAATGAAGAGATAAGGGGAAAGAGGCTCTCCCTGACGAACACCGTGGGTAGGAGTGATGATGGTGGAAAGAGTGTCATTCCAAAGAACGCGCATTTTATTATGTTCCACGCAATACATGATGCACTAGATCCAGGAGCTGGGGAGGCCCACTTCTTTCAGAGTGTCTCGAAGGAAGTCCCATCGCAGCATGTCATACGCTTTCTCGAGATCGATCTTGAGGATGATGCCGCCCTTCTTCCCCTTCCTCTTCCCAAGGGAGTGCAGAACCTCTTGGACAATAATAACATTATCCGTCGTCTGTCTGCCAGGAATAAAACTGCTTTGGCGAGGGGATATCAGCTTCCTCATGATCGGCTTCAGCCTGCTGGTGATCGCCTTCGTGATGGCCTTAAGGCTGACATTATTAAGTGAGATAGGCCGGAGTTGGGTCACTAGCTCAGGGTGGTCAACCTTCGGGATGAGCACGACAGTAGACTCCGAGACCTCTTCCGGGCAGGGGCGGAGCTAGGATTTGACGTTCGGGGGGGCCGAAAATTATTTAATATTATTACCGCAGAAGGGTGATAAAAAAATTAAAAACTAAGCAAGACAATCAAAGTAAATTTTACTTTTATTAGTATTATGATTAATCATTTTAGATGATTAGAGTCAAAATATTGATGTAGAATAACTTATGAAAGGTCAAAATGGATAATTTTTCAGTGAAATAAAATTGCAAAGTGGTAAAAAAAACTAAACTTGAAATTAAATGAGTCAAGAAATAATATTGAAATAATGAAATGAAGAAACCATAACATGAAACTTGAAAAATTAATTATATCTAATTAAATGAGTCAAGAAATAATAAATTTAAAAGAGTAATTGTGTAGATATATTAAAATAAAAAGCAAATAAAAAGTAACATAATTGCAGAGGGTGGGTATCGAACCCTCAACCAGCTGCATCATAACTCATGTACTCCCCGCTTGACTAAGCCTACTTTGTTTTAATAAATTTGCACACTAAACATATTAGGCCTTTGTTAGTTTTTACGAAATTTTCAAAATATCGATAAAGTTTAGAAGTAACTTTCACGATTCTCGGGGGGGCCGGGGCCCCCCCGAGACCAGCTGTAGCTCCGCCCCTGCTTCCGGGAGAACACTTGAGGAGAAAAAAGCCAGAGCCATATCCGTTAAGGACTTCCCAACCACAATCCAAGCTTGTTGGTAGAAAGCCGCATGAAAGCCATCAGGGCCAGGAGCTTGGAAGGGCTTCATCTCAAACACAGCTCTGTGAATATCCATAATGGTAAAGGGTCGGAGCAACGCAAGGAGCTCTGTCTGCTCTAGGCGGGGGAAGACATTCTTGGGCATCTTGTCCTCATACGAAGAATTGTCCTGCATGTAGAGGTTAGTATAAAACTCAAACACCATACACGCCAAGTCATGGGGATCCTCAACCCAAGCGCCTGTCGACTCCTTCAGAGCTTTAATTTTGTTTTTGCGTCGTCTGATGTTTGCAAGCTGGTGGAAGTAACTGGTATTACGCTCTCCATATTTGACCCACTTTTCTCTTGCTCGTTGGTACCAAATCAGTTCCTCCTGTTCAAGCACCCTTTCTAGCTCAACCTGCAGTTTGGAGTGAAGTTTGGCCAATCCCGGTTGAAACGCCACCGAGAGACGCATCTCCACCCCTCGAATCCGACTGATCAGACGCCTTCTAAAGTATTGATGCTTTAATGTATAACTTGAAGTTGTACCATAACATTAAATGTATAAGTTCAAGTTGTACTATAAAGGAATTTGTACCCTTATGTTATG